CCGTGCCGCTGCGCTCGCCGCGGGGTCACCTTGGCAGCGGTGCTGGCGAGGGCAGCGCTATCTCCTTTCTCTCTCAATTAGCTCCTGATTATCAGTGTCCCAGGGCCCCTCTCCGGGCTCTGTTTAAGACACCATTAATAATTCATGTCTCCGAGTGGCCTCTGCAGCTTCGGAGGGATCCGAAGCAAAGGGACGGGGTCGCGGCGAAGCTCCCTGGGATGGGGAATTGCTCCGCTTTGCCCCACGGGGGCCTCAAGATGAACCTGGTGCCCCCTTGCTCCCAAAGCATCCGTCCGGCCCCACTGGAAAACACACACCTTGTGAGCTCCCATTTGCCCACCTATATCCAGAAGCCTTTGGCTCTTCTTCCTCTCCTCGCTAAGCTGAAGGCCCCTCTGGCACTTGCCAACTCCCCGGGCTGGCAACACGGCGGCTCCGTTGCGGGAAGCGAAGCCGATTGAGCTCCAAGTCTCGCTTAGGCGCTTGAGTGGGAAAGGGCCAACTTGGGGCGTTTCCAAGCAGGATGGATCAGGGTTTGCCCAGCTGGGGCCTCTGCGGGATGAATCTGCCCTTCCTGCTGCACCGATGGAAATGAAGTGGGTGCTACAGAAACCACCCTGTGCCCTGGGGGCTGGACGTGGCTCTGGGGTCATTGAGCACGCGGAGCCTTGTTTATAGATGGGGCTGTCACTGGGATGAAGTGGCTGCTCAGGGCGCTCTAATCACCAGCCCCAGCACAAGGGGCATCAGGACGGGCATCCCAGGGGTTTTGTCCCACAGACCGAGCAGCCCAGGCGATGCTGGAGCCAGCCTGGCTGCTGCATGCTCACACGAGCACCCACTGCCTTAACTCGCAGCCTGGATTCTCTGAGCACAAATCAGGACAAGCCGAGCCTGGAAAACGACCCGGGGTCCCAGGAGGAGGAGTTTTGCCAGGGGAGAGGCAGGAGAGGCCACCGCAGCCCCCCGAGAGCCACAAATAACTCCAGCGGCCTCGTTACCTACTTTCTGATGAGCAGGCACTGGGGTCTATGCTTCCCCAGGGGCTACTGCACCCGCAGTGGGGCTAGGGCTCCCTCAGCCACCGCTGCAAAGTTGTGCAAGCGCAGGGTGCAAGGACAGAGCACACATGCAGCATGCAAGCGCAGCATGCAAATGCAGCGTGCAGGTGCAGGGTGCAAGGACAGGGTGCACATGCAGCATGCAAGCGCAGCATGCAAATGCAGCGTGCAGGTGCAGGGTGCAAGCTCGGCACGACGGCTCCATGCACCCATCCTCGCTGGGGAGCATCGGCAGCCGGCACGGAGCGGGATGGATCTTCACCCGGGCAGCGCTCGGGCCTGGAGTCGTGTCCGTGCCGCCCTCCTCGCTCAGCCCTGCGGGATGGGGCTTCCCTCTAGCGACTTCCCCTGGCAAACGCGCCCGCACGAGAGCTGCTGCAGTGAGTGCAACCACCGACACGTTGCTTCCCCAGCACACACAGCGTTTAATTTACACCATAGAGTACATCAGGGAGAGTGCAGGGGTTGCTGGTGCATGGCCAGGCCCTGCAAAGCAGCTGCTCCTCCTCATAGGATCATAGAATCACAGAATGCTTAAGGTTGGAAGGGACCTCTAGGGATCATCCAGTCCAACCCCTGCACATGCAGGGTCACCTAGAGCCCGTGGCACAGGACTGCGTCCAAGCGGGTTTGAAGATCTCCAGAGAAGGAGACTCCACAACCTCTCTGGGCAGCCTGTTCCAGTGCTCTGGCTCCCTCACTGTTAAAAAAAATTTCCTTAAGTTCCTGTGGATCTTGGACTCTTCAGTCTCTCCTGGTGCAGCCTCCTGCTGCGGTCATGGGCTCTGCCAGGGACCTGCTGCAGCACGGGCTGGCTCCCGGAGGAGGCGGAATAGCCCCCTTGCAAGGGAGACGCTCTAGGAGGGCTGCGTGTCCAGGCTGGAGCAGTACTCCAGGTAGTCGAACTCCTCGACGGGGAACGTCACGCTGCTCCACTTCTTGTACTTCCTCTTCTCGTCCGGCGTCTCCACCACGAAGTTCTTGATGGAGAGGATGGGCAGCTTCACGGCCCGGTAGATCATCTCCAGCCCCCAGACCTGCGCGGGCAGAGGGGAGCATCGCAGCGCGGCCCCCAGCGCCGCAGCAGCTCCCTGATCCCAGGGGAGCTCCCCGTGGGTGGCAGGAGCCCCATGTCCCATGTGCAGTGCACAGGGCGCGTGGGCACCAGCCCCAGCTCCGTTTCTGGGGGATAAGGAGCCCAGGGTCCATGCACGAGGCTTGGGACGCAGCCCCCTGCGTGCTCCCACAGCGATGGGCGCAGGTCCCCCGGTCTCGACGCGCGCTCCGCTCACCTGGCTGCACTCGCTGCACGCGAGGCCGCAGCCGGGCTCCCAGTCCTTGAAGGAGCGCTCGAGCTGCAGCTTCCCGGGGGTGACTTTGTAGTAAAACCTGCCGGGAGGCAAGAGGTGGTCACGGGACCCCAAAGGATCCTCCTCCCCACACAGTGGCCCCAGAAGGGGCCCGTGGTGGCAGCGCTGCCCCCAGCCCTGCCATGGGCTGCTGGGCCCAGGCCAAGGGCACTGCCCGGGTCTGCTCCTACTTGAAGAGGGGGTTGATGTTGACGTGGTGCATGCCCTCCACGGTGCGGATGTCGCTGCCCCGGCACACGGCTATGTTGCAGTTGACGCAGTAGAAATAAACGGCGCCTGGGTCGTGCAGCTGCCGCCTCTCGGTGCTCTTGGCTTCCTTCGCTTTCCAGCTGACAACGGCGTTTCGCTGCAGCTCCATGATCTGGGAAAGAGGGTGGAGGAGGATGGCGGGGAGGACAGGGTCAGTACTGGCGCACAGGGACACGGAGGGACTGCAGACTATGTGAAAGACACATAGAATCATAGAATGCTTAGGGTTGGAAGGGACCTCTCGAGGTCATCTAGTCCAACCCCCTGCACACGCAGGGTCACCTAGAGCACGTGGCACAGGGCTGCGTCCAAGCGGGTTTGAAGATCTCCAGAGAAGGAGACTCCACAACCTC